ATAATCTAGAGTGATCGAATAGATTCCAACAGGAAAATATATTAAGAACACACCGAATGAATATCAATTATGTCGAATGATTAAATATCATAGCCTTAGAAGATCTCGATTAAGAATTGCTACTATAAAGGCGTGTAGGGTTTACAAATATAATTAGGCCATTACTAAAACTAGTGCATGCATGCACCTTAAATAGCTAAACCCTAATTAATAAATCACAGGTACATAGGCCCAACCAGGATACAAAATAGACTGTATAAAAGCCTGTAAAGACGCATCACTAAATACCCAACAATCTCCCCTTGTAACTCCAAGTTTAAGGTTATACATATTACTCATTCAAAAACAAGTATTCGAGTCAAAACTCACTCGTGAAGCCCTAAACCTTATTAAATATATTTCATACACTCAATGTTGGGTTATAAACCTAAGATTTCGGTACAAACTCTTATTGGACCAAGATCCCCTTATTAGGCCTAATGGGCCAATAAACTCCCAGTTGGATTATTTTTGTCTAAGTAACCTCATTTTGGCCCTAATTGGACCCACATTCATTAAACTATAGCATTATGGTCCTTAATGGGCCTAAAATGTCTCACTTTGCTTTCATGGGCCTTATTGGGCCGAAAACCACATAGTTATTTATAATGGGCCGAAAACCCATCCCTTCTTACAATTTGGGTTGTAAACTCATATGTAGGCCGACATTGATCAAAATTTTCTAATGGGCTAAAGCCATATCAAGCCCAAAGTCCATAATTCTCTCATGTTTCTTCTCATTCTCGGTTTGTAAAAAAAATAATATAAACTAAAATTAGTTTGAATTAAAACTTGACACCTCATCTTTAACTAGAGGATCTCTATGTTAAATTACATCTCATACTTCCAAGATTAAGCACCATAATCCATCATGTATTAACCAACAAAATTTTCTTTTTCTCTCTTCAAACTTACGGTCGAGACCTCAAACACGCTCACATCTTCCACTTTCAAGCACCTAAATTCTTTCTAGAACTCCTAGAATCTATTCATTCTCCCTCTCTAAATTCGTATGTGCTTGTGTGTGTGTTCAAGAAAACCTCATCAAAGACCACCATTTTGGTAAGCTACCTCCACTCAAGAAGTTTAACTTCATGTTTATGTTAAACTTATTTTGATTAACATTCTATTTTGTGATTCATGCTCTTAGAACCTCCTAGAGTTCGAAAATCTCTCGGAGGAACTTGCTAGACCGAAAACAACATCACTTCCTCTCATCTCTTCACCAAAAACCGAAACCATCTACCAATATGAGTTCATGCCCCCTTGTTTTCGGTTTTATATTGTTTTGCGAGGTGGGATACAAGTTGCTTTGTGTTAGATCTATGTTTTTATGCTTGTATATGTGTGTTTTATGTTATGTGTTGTGATTTATACTATGAAAACTTGTTGAAACATTATAAAACTCGAAACATGGTGATATTTGCAAACTAAAATCAATACATGTAATTTAATATGAAGTTACAAGGTCATTAATGACAAATAAACAAAAAGGTGAAGCCTTTATGGCATTTAGGGCTTTTCAAGGACCAAAGAGTCATTTTTATATAAAAATGGGTCCTAAGGATAATTATGGTTTTAAAAGGGCCAAAAGTGTTAATTTTCACAAAATAGGCTTAGAATTAGGCCTTCATGGTTTCATGGGATAAATTTGTAAAATTTTAACTTTTGTGGGTTAAAATTTCATTTTAAACAATTTTGAACCAAAATGTAATTTTTCAGTTATATGGGCTGAAAATATTAATCTTATTAAACCTAGGCCAAAAGGGTTAAGTGTTTATACATTTGGGTCGCAAATGTAAATTTTCTTCAAATTCGGCCGAAAATGTACTTTGAACAAAAAGTTGGCTAAAAACTTTATTTTATTTAAAATGAGCCTTTAAATGTAAAGTTTTGGTATTCATGGACCTAAAGTATCATTTTTTACCAAAAACGAGCCTTAATTGTAAATTTTCGGTTTTATGGACCAAAAATATTATTACAAAAAGTGGGCCTTTTAAGTCATGTTGATAAACATTTGAGTTTAAATAACCAATGAAATTACAAACGGACTAAGTACGTCAATTACACTCTTAATTGGGCATGGAAGATACATTACATGTTTATTGGGCTTTTGTGGTCCATTTTAATGCTTATTGGGCCTAATATATATATATATATATATATATATATATATATATATATATATATATATTACATGTTTATTCGGCCTTTGTGGTCCAATTACATGCTTATTAGGCATGGAATATACATTACACTTATTTGGGCCTTTGTGGCCCATTTACATGCTTGTTGGGCCCAAGAGACATAAAATATACACAAAAACATTATTCACCGTGTTACATGGTGTAATACAATATTCACGTAAATTCAGTTAAGGCTCTTGTGAGACATTTCATTCCCTCGTACCTATCCAGCGTACAACTGTAAGCCTATAGTTATAACCAGAGTCTCCCGGAGGGAGAGCGGGAGTTTGTGTATAGATCTATATGAGGTTGACCCCCCACAGCTGAGGTGTTCGCTACAGTTAGACTAGGCCAATCTAGGGTAACAAACTTTACCTTAAACAAGTCGGCACCTGGAAAACGTCAATACAAGTGAATCAATCATTATCAAGTATGGTTATAACGACTCACATAGAGATTAACTCCACTGTAAAATTTACGGAATACATATACAAATTTGATTATACAAAAAATACATACATACACTGGAATCTGATCGTAGGGTTTTAAGACCACAACGCTCTTATAAATAGAAAATATCGGATTTTTTTTTGGAAAAAACATACAATTATACAGTACCCTCTACTTACAATAGAAAAAATAGGATTTTGTGGAATACTCTTTTTTTACATTTTCAAAACAGAAACACACATGCTACACACAAGATTTGACACAAAACATTCAAACCATTTTACAAAAAATATCAGATTTTCTGGTGTTTACAAAGTGATACAACATTTTTCTTACAACATACTTATGAACTCGCCAACATTATATATGTTGACGTTTTCAAAATAACTTGTATTTTCAGGATATTGTTAAGCAGGCGAACATCAAGAATGTGTGGATTTTTGTTGCAATTTGTTGCTATGATACACTTTATATTTTTGGGATGTAACTTTTATAAACAAGTACAATGATGTAAACCCAGTACTAATGTAATATTTTATGTGTGATGATGATGTTGACTCATTTCAATTATATACACTATGATGACATTACAAGATGAAGTCACCCAACCCCCAACATTTCCGATGTTTCTCCGGTTCGAGGGTGTGACAAATTGGTATCAGAGCAATGTTTATAGTGAACTGACATATCTAATCATATAAGATATACAACTATAAATACATTGGGACTAAAATACTCGTAACAAAATAAAATCCATACCTATGTGTGCATTTTAGGGTATTGTCACAATAAGAAACAGTAAAAGTCTTTGGAGGATTTGAACATCATGGTTAAACCCAGACAATTATGTAGTCGTATTGGGGATAAATAGAGCCTGATCAACTATATTTATTTAAAATACAACCAACATGTGTTTGGAAGTGATCATGGTGGGCAATGAATCTAGACACCTACCTTGTGTCCAAAAAGTTTTAAAGGAGCGAACCAAGTTCCTACAAAAGTTTGCACTTACAAGGACTTTTCAAAGTCCAAACCATGAACATTCAATACGACGGGAGGCGTCATAACTTTAAAACGATGGATGGAAAAGATCCAGTCAGTCTTGGAGATCTGCGAATGCCCTGAAGAAGGCAAGGTGAAATTCGTAGCTTGCACGTTTATCGACCAAGAGCTCTCGTGGTGCAATGGTAATGTACAGGCTAAGATACACCCAGTAGAAAATGTCATGCCATGGGAGGAGTTGAAGGAAATATTGATGGCAAAGTACTGTCCCCATGGGGAGATATAGAAATTAGAGTAGGAGTTATGCAACCTCACAGTACAAAACACAAATATCGAGGCTTACATCGCAAGGTTCAGTGAACTAGCCCTTCTGTGCCCGGGTATGATCACATCAGAAGAAAAGAAGATCGAGCGGTTCATAAACTGATTAACTTCTCCAATCCATGGAAACGTGATTACAGCAAACCCAAATACTTTCAATAGTGTGAAAAGGCTAGCTCATAAGCTTTACGACCATGGCAACAAGAAAGGAGTCAAAATTGCTGAGGTTGAGGCCAAGAAAGAAGGAAATAACAAGTAAAATGGGGACAAAAAACAAAAAGGGCGACAGAAGTAGGCATCCTCCAAAAATTAGCAAACTGTAGTAGTCAGCGCTGCTACCGCTCAAGTTGCGCCAACACTAGCTGCCCCAACCTCAACTTCACAAACCACTACCAGGCAATACTCAGGAACTTTACCAAAATGTGACAGATGCAGCTACGACTACTATGGAGAGTGCAGAGAAATACAGTGTACCAACTGCAACCGCAAGGGGCACACCACCCGATACTATAGATCTCAACCCTAATAGAACCAACAGCCATACAACAACAACAACAATAACAACAACAACAACAACAACAACAACAGCAATAACAACAACACCAATAACAACATCATCAACAACAACAACAACAACAACAACAACAACAACAACAACAACAACGTCGGGGCCAGTCGTATACGAAACCAACATCCTTTTGATGTGAGCAACAATGGGTTCGTATTTCTTCTTGTCATGCATCAGTAAATGAAACAGAATGATCCAATCTTAAGGATTCAAGCATGGTAAGTCTACAAGAGAGAATTCAAACACTGAATTTGCAGAACCTCGAGTGGTTTTAAATTTATCATTAATGAAACTCTCAGTTTGAATAGGTCCAATAACTTTGACGACATTTATCTTTTGTGAACTCTAGGTCTGGAACTGAGGCTTGCCATACTTCAAGTAAAAAGTCATCAGGGACTTATCAACATTCGCAACGGAATTTGGAGCATTCACAATCACATCAAAACAACGAAATAGGATTGCTTTTTTGTGATGGGGAAATCAAGTTGTAAATCAAGAGTGTTCTTCAGTTCAAATGATGTAATCGGCTCCAACCAATGAAGCCTCAGATTATCAAGTGCTTCATTCGAAATTGGCTCCAAGGACCAAGGAGGAAATAACAGTTTCTTACCAGCTAAAGTAGTTTGAGCTTCACGTTCGGCCTTTTCGTTTTCTTCTGCTTCTCTTGCAATGCGCATATTTTCATCGAGAATTACATCACAAGCCTTGTGTTTAAGTTTCTCATTTTCATCTTCTTCCTCTTCTTCATCTTCTATCACTTTCTCCTTTCCTCTTGAACCCGAAGCTACATTACCCTTCGGTTAAGATTTAGATCCCTTTAACTTCTCCGGTTCGCCAGATTTCTTGGGTTCTTTTATAGACGGAGGTTTCTAAGATTCTCCCCCTTGTTTCGAAAGTGAGGTAAACTCCGAAACACCCTCAAGTCGATTTAACATTGCGAATGCGGACCAGAGTTTATCTGTCAGATGCTTCCTAACAGTGATAGGGATCAATGGATCACACACCTCAACGATATTAGACAACAATGAGTTCACATCTGAAACACAACTTTTTACAACAACTCTCTCAGATAAGAGCTCATTAAGCTTCATCTCAGCAGTATCAAGCTTTATATTTAACACCTTCACTTTTTATGTCTTGCATGCGAGAGCATCCATTATTTTACTTTGAACATCCAAGTCATCTTGAAGCTTTACAATTTTGGATGTGATGGAGGCGTTGAGCTCAGAATTGTCAGATTTTTTACCAATGCAAACCTTCTTGAGAGCCTCCTTCTCTATTCAAAGAGAATTACTCAAACTTGATATAGCTTCATTGGCTTTCACAGTATTGGCGTTAAAAGAGCTCTAAAAGGTGCTCATGAAGGAATGATCATTTTAAATTAGTTTATTGACTTGTTTGGTTGATTCTTTGCATGTCTTAGCCAAATTCTCCACAATTTTATTTTCTTTCTCCAGATTCGCAGCATGTTCCTTTAAAGTTCTTTTTATTAAGGCCTTAATTGCTTCCTGAGAATAAGCATTGCTTGAAGAAGCATTGGAAGATTGAATAAACAAATCCAACTTCTCAGTGATGACCTTGAACTGCTTTTGAGTGATTGGTGCATCATCATCACTTTCCTCGAGAACATGGAAAGGAGTGAAGGTAAAATCAGATGGGTTTTGAGCATTCTAACACCCCTAAGTGTACCTGAAACCCTAGAAAAACCTTGGATCTATGTTTGTCTAAAATACATGAAAAATATGATTTCCAAGGTTTATAATCCTATCTAGCATACATGGGGAAGTTTTAATCTAAAAGATGGATAGAATTACATACCTTGTAGTTGATTTTGATTCCTTGAAAACCTTGAGAGCCTAGCACCCCAAGTGTGATGCCTCATATGCTTCATACAAAACCCAATGCTTTGGAATGACTTTGAGAGAATGCAAAGAATTATAAAAATCAGCCTAGCCCTCTTGTAACTTCATGTAGCCAATTTTGGTGACTATCATGTTCCTTATATAGTGTGTCACATCTAGGGTTACACCATGTAAACCCTAATGTGACATGACTCTTCATTTCCAAAGCCCAGGGGTTTGTAACTCCTATGGAGCATCATATGGGTGTAACCCAACTTGATAATCCATGGAGACTTTTAGCCCACTATACAAGTTATGAATGATTTACATAATCAACCGATATATTTAACTAGTTATCTTTTGATCACTTAATTAATTCCAAATTAATTCTTGATTGATACTAATTAAATAATACTTATTAATATATTAGAACTTATAATATCTTAATAAACCACAAGTGTTCTTTATCTCATTTAGTCTATCCAAATGCACGATGCCATGAACCCCAAATGGACCATGTCGGTTCGGGTCAAGTACATACCTAATATAGTTATGGACTTATACACATAGCCTCCCACTTGGATAAGTCTAATAAGTATATCAACAAGTATGACTTCACGAACCGATCATCAATCGTAGCTCTTTCAAGGTCTCTTGGAACAATGAAGATGATGATACACCATTTAAGATAAGTGATCATATAATCCTCTATTCTTAATATCAGCCGAACAAATACATGGAACAATGTCTTTCTTATTTTCTAGCAGTTTGTTTCCCGATTTCCGATTTGTTTGACATAGAACTAAATTGAACACATCAATTCAGCTCTGACCGGGCCCGGTACATAGGTCAAAACAAAATCATCGAGGGGCCTAGATATCGCTTCTAATCCAGGAAGGAACAAATAAACTTCAACTCATATGTTTACTCTAATACTTGTTGAATCACACACAAAAGTACGTTTTATAACATCGAGTTACCAATGCGGTTTCGTAAAATCAATACATAACCAACTCATAGGCAACAAGTCATATCTCTAGGTTTGAAGACTTATATGATATTACCATCTCACGATCACTCTAGATAAATTCCATGAAGTGATACCTGTGAGCTTGGGTTGAGTCCACTGCTTAGAACTTTTGAGCACTCATGAATGTTGTAGCAATGTCTGACAACTTAGACCTATACAATCAACTCATGACAATCTTGATTCATACCTACTTCCAATATACACTACAAGAAAAATAGCCTTTAATGATGCGCAAACAATGACACTCGCTGATTCACGTTACGCATTTTTGGGCGTCCTTAAAAATAAAGTCAGACTTCCAAAATTTGAAGGATAGTGGACACGCATTTTTGCGTGCCCTTAAATTAGTGTCTCAAGAAAAAAAATTAAAAACATAGAGGGCGCTTTATCTTAAACGTGCTTCTTTTGTAGGTGTCACTTCATAATTTTAAGGAAACGCGCCTTGAGAAGATAACGGGGGAAACGAAACCCTAAAATTTTGAAAACCCGCCTTTCTTTTCTACCTTCTTTTCTTTATCTTCACAGACGAGTCTCCCTTTTTGTTTCTATTTTTCAATGGTTGTTTCCATCTTTCCCTAATCATGTCATCGCTGCAAATCACACACTGGGAGGCAGTGGAAGAAGATGATGAAGTTTGTCGTTGTCGTATGTCGCCCTCCTTCACTGTCTCTTACTATCTCTACCCTTTCTTTATTCTTCGCTTCTATGATCTCAGCCTCCTATTCAGCCCTCTAAAGCCTTACTTGTAAGTCCACACCATGCTTGTTCTTATCTTGTTATGGAAAATCAAGAAACATTCAAAAAAACTTAGGGTTTCGCTGTGAGGCATCATTTCTTCTTATCAGTATCGGATTTCTTCTTGCCTGAAGGGGTAGATTGACGAGACCTATGAGAATTCTGAGATCGATCATTGCTCCCTGTGTGACTGTGTGAGGATACAGAGATTAATGGTTGCGACAGGGTTTAGCAAACCTCCTTATTTCTTCTCTACCAGGTATAATAAATTTTGGGTCAAGTCTCTAGCTCCGCATTCTCTCTACCTCTGTATTCTCTCTCTCTCTTTGGAAAACCCTAATCACCCTTCTGGTTTTCTGAACCAGGAAAAAGCATGGTTTGTGTATTTGTAAACCCGATATAGAGATTTTTGGGTCCGATTTTTAGGGATTACCATAAATCCCCCTAAATCCAACCATTACACTTGTTCATTCATTCCCCATAAATCCCTTCATCTTGATTACAATCTACAAACCCCCTAAATCACCCAGTTAGAGTATCTACCATGGATGCTCTACGCCGACCTAATCTTGATCTTAGTAATTCTTCGCCCCTTTCATCAATTTACACCAAAACCCCTCAAACACCACCCCGTTCAACTTTTCCCTATAAGTACCGATTATCTTCTTCTAGTTTCAATGGTTACCATAGCAAGTGTAAAGTACCAACACCACCTCAAGCTTTACCTAAGGCAAATTTGAACGAATCAGTTGAATCTAATAAGAAATTGACTGATTCAATCGCTAAAGGTTTGATCAGGCTCGCTGTTGCAGTCTCTGTTTGTTTAGATTCGCCAGCTCTTGCCGATTCCTTGACAATAGCATTCCTAGCTTCTCGTACTCATGAGGTAGGTGTTTAGTTCTATCATCTTTTTTAGTATTTTGTTTGGGTTGTGCAGATAAGGTGTTCGATCTATTAGTTATATGGGTTTGGTAAATTTTGATTTCGTCCAGGTGAATGCTGTGCAGCGAACTCTGGTAGAGACTTGGGGTTTGATCAGAGAGACTTTTTTTGATCCAAATTTTAATCATCAAGGTATGATTCATTTATGTTGTTTTATGTCATTTAGTGTCAATAAGTTTAACGTAATTTTATGTGTTTTCTTTAGACTGGGACTCGAAATTCCAAAAAACAATGGTGGAAATGCTTCCACTTAGAACAAATGATGCCGCATGCACCAAGATTAAAGGAATGCCTTCTACTCTTGGATATCGCTTCACTCACATTATCAGTCCAAAGGTGCAACTTTTCCCATTACTTTTACAAAAATTGTCCCTCTGGTTTCTGAAAGAGTTTTTAGTTTTGGACTAAAATTCAGAAACAACAGGGACCATTTTTGTAACTTATTCTTACTCCTAGATTCCAAAAGCCGAAACTTACTCTATTTTCTTTTCGGCAATGATTTGTACAGGAATAGCAAAGTTTTAGAATTGGAAGTGATGGAAACGTGCAAGGAGTTGGACTATTTGTGAATACTGAACCAGAAACTGGTCATCTGGTTTGTGATGCTGAGACTTGAACCTGAGACCTTAGTTTTGGATTCTTATTTATTTTTTATTTTTAAAATTTTAAAATTTTTTGTTTCAAGTTTTATTGTCCTGTGTTGAGGGTAGCCCAGCTGCTTGAGCTGGAATACATGTAGGAAATAAGTTGATTGAAATAAATGAAGAGATAGTTAAAGGGATTAGTGGTGAAGCTGATGCACAAAAGCTCAAAGGTCATGTTGGGACAAGTGTTATAGTCAAATTGCACAATGTAAGTTTTGTAGGAAGGAATGGAATGGTTGATTCCTTTCCAAAGGATTTTATAGAAATTTGTGCATGTTCACATTTCTAATCTACAGGGAAAAAAGTTGGCGATTGACTCTATTTTTAGAGATGTGAAACTACCCCGGGAATTCATCAGACTTTCTCCTATATCAAGTGTCATCATTCCTCATAGAACACCAAATGGTCATGTATCCAAAACCGGATATGTAAAGCTATTAGCCTTCTCCCATGTGCTTATTAATTCTCTAAATCTTAGTCTTACTTTATAACTTCATATCTTAAATTCATTTAACAACAAGCTTTTGTAAACAGACTGCTTCTACAGATATGATACACGCCATTCGTGAATTGGAAAATCAGGGTGTTGAATCTTAGATTTTGGATCTCCGAAAAAATCCAGTAAGTAGCCTAAAGTTGAATTTAGTAAACTTTTGTTTGACGATTTACTAGTATTTACATATATATATATATATATATATATATATATATATATATATATATATATATATATATATATATAGGGTGGTTTGGTGAAGGCTGGACTTGATGTTGCTCAAATATGGCTGGATGGAGATGAGACTCTAGTGAACACAATAGATCAAGATGGGAACATGCTTCCTATTAACATGATCAATATCCATGCTCTTACTCGTGATCTTCTAGTTGTTCTTGTAAGTTTTTTTTTTGACATGAAAATCTATATATTCACCTTCAGTTACATCTTTTGCTAGTGCTAACATGGCAATGAGACAACAGCCACATCAGAAGAAGTATAAGCTGAGAACTGGCTGTGTTAATGTATCCCATTCTCATAAACCTGGTAACAGGGAGCACACAAAGGCTACAGCTCAAGAAACATGTGACAGTTGGTGAAAAGGTGTTGTTTTATCCCCCATCCCCCCCCCCCCCCCCCCCCCGCCTTTTTTTTTTTTTTGATATTTTACATTTGTATAAACCTAATATGGTTTTTATTTATGAAATAAATTCATTTGTGTAGGGGAAAAGAGGTGTATAAGAGTGGAGATTTATCAAAAGCTAAAGTATGTTATTCAAAGGGTATTAGGTCAATACAACATACAAAGACACCTGACGTTTGTATACAACCTCTTATTTTCTGTTATAGCAATCGTGCAACTATACGTATGGCTCTTAGAAGAATGAGGGAAAATGTCTAAACAATTGTAGAATGGCTGTTGTATTAGATCCCAATTTCATGAAGGTCAATAAGCTCCTATTCAGAGAAACTACCTAATATGAAAGGAGAGGCTCTTCTCATGGTATGTGAATGTGATTCATAATCTTTGTTAGTTTAATAATTGAAATTGATTGATTTACCCCTACTGATTACACATCTGAGGAAGCATAAAAAGGTGGTTCAACTATGCGAGAAAACCCTAGATACATCGGGTACTAAAACTTCTACCAATTTTTTAACTACTTTCCCTTTACTTTTGAGGTTTAACCTCTTAATATTATATGATATTTATAAATCAGGGAGGGGAACTTCAGTGGTGAAGATATTGTTAGGGTTACCACCATGAACAAGCATGGGAAGCATGATTTGGATACTCCAGTCGTAGTTAACCCAAGAAATGATCCTCCATTTATTGATGTCCTTGAGTTCATCATGTTGGAGAATGTGACAGAAGATGACATTCACTTTCCAGGTCATACTCACTTTCCAGGTATATTACAGTTTACAAGAAATAACAATGTACTTTTATGTATTTGCTTATTGTGAAAACATTTTACTTTTATTTCTTTCTATTACAGTTTACAACACTGCACTTTTCATTTATGATCTTATAAGATTTGTTGTAAGTCCTTTAATCCCAAGCCACTAGACATCAGGACATTTATTGGCTTTTGTACACAATCATCTAACTAAATGTTCCTTTTAAACTGGGATAGTGCAGGCCTATGCTTGAGATCACATTTTCAACAATAGACATACCAAAGATCGTAAGTCAGGTATTAAAAATTCCACCTTTTGCCCTTGGCTTGACGCATATGTACTATTTAGCTTATTATTTTCATTTACACTTGCAAGAAATTAGAAGCGAGGAGCTAAATAATGATGTTTCATAGGTGCTCCCTAGTTATAAACATGTATGAATATGATTTACACTTCCAGTTCACATTGTATCCAATTATGGAGATGATATGTGGCCCAATAGTAGTAGCTCATATTGCAGGAGTAAGCAATTTTTCTTTAATTTAGTTTTTCTTTTACCATTTGTTTAATTTAATTATTCATTTTTGATGTAATTATTTATTTTGCGTGAGAGAATTTTTTTTTTTATATATGAATCTTGAAAAATGGGATGTTTGGTTGTTAAGTGAGGTCTTGAATATGTCTGGCGTAGGTTGTGTCTATTCCACTACTCATGAGTTATCCATTCATAGCCATGTTGACTGGATTTTCTCTCTTGTTGACTTTAAATTGTGCATCCATTATAAAGAATGTTTTATATGTAAGTTTTTCAGGGACTAAATTTTTCTACTTCATTAATTGCATGCTACTATTAGTTTTTTACTTAATATATGATAATATTTGCACATATTTATGCAAAATGCAAGAAATGTTATAATTATTTTTATCATGATAATTTGGTTTCTTGTTATCAACAGGTATCCATCATAACGGGGACATTCATGCTGCAAAATAAAGTTGTGGTAATCTTCGCCTCCTCAGTTCTATAGCTTTTTTAGGGTTAGATTCATAAAGTAACAATGCACTTTCATTGATCTATTTATTTATTACAAGTTTATAACATCCTAATTTCATTTTTTCTTATTAGAACATTGTACTTTGAAAAATCTACCCAATTATCTTATTGTATAGCTTGAGTGCATCTATGGCTTAATCTTAATAATAATTCAGTTTTATATTATCTTATTGTTAAGTTTGTTTACTAAGCTTAAGAAGAGTAAACATGGTATCCTTATCTCAGTTGGAGTCAAACCATAAGCTTCCGGGGCCAATTCAATTGCTGAGACATTTTTAGAAGTCAAACACCTTCTTCTTGTGTATAAGTTCAATAGCAAATTTAGTACTTTCTTGTGTATAAGTTCTCTTAGAAGAAAAACATATTTTTGATCCCTTTGATATCCATGTGTCTACAATTGGAATGATTATTTGTATGACATTAACTATTGTGCAATGTATTCTATTTTTTGTATATGGTATTTTATTTTCTATTATGAGACATGAAATGGAAATTTAATTTGAAAATTAGTAAATCTATCAATAATTTTTTTTAAACAGTGAAAATTATGATACACAAAAATGTGTGTCATCTGCATTTATGACATGGTCTTTCTTTACAGGGGCTTTCTTGATACTCATTGCATGTCATTAACATGCGCGTCGTAAGGTTACGATACACAAATGTGTGTCGTCTTCCTTTATGACATGGCCTTTCTTGATACGCATTGCATGTCGTAAACGTGCGTCGTAATTGCGCGTCGTAAATGCGCGTTGTCTATAGACGACGTGTAAAAGCGCGTCTCTCTTTATGATAGGGCCTTCCTTGACGCGCATTTGCGCGTTGTCTGAGCCCTTTACGACGTGCAATGAGTGTCGTAAAAGGCTGTTTTTCTAGTAGTGGTATGACCGACTGTGGAGAATTCGAATAATATGATATACCAAACATAATTATTTTGGAAGTCAAAACATGCAAAAGAAATATAGTAAATGATTGACAAAAGATAGCAACACTTTACTCATAAATATATACAACATTATTCGTCATCAAATGTCAATTAAACTTTACAAATTTCAAAATTATCTAACTACTAAAACTAATATCATCCTTCAACCCTATTCTCCGAGCATGCTAGAGATGCTTAACCCGATTCAGTCCTTTCGTGAGGGGATCTGTTGGGTTCTCATCCGATGATGCCCTCTTTTCCACCAGGAGTGCTTCTTCTATTCGATGTCTGATGAAATGGTATTTTCTATCGATGTGTCTGGATCGCTCGTGATCCCTTGGTTCCTTGGCTAAGGAAACTGCACTTTCACTATCACATAAAATTTCCATTGGCTCCTTTATATCTGGTATAACTCCAAGGTCTCCAATGATGTTCTTCAGCCATATCACCTCCTTTGCTGCCTCACTTGCGACTATATACTCTGATTCGCAAGTTGAAGCAACCACTGTCTCCTGCTTGGAACTCTTCCATGTAACTGCTCCTCCGTTTAAGTTAAAGACTTAGCCTGACTGAGAGCGGAAATTATCCCTATCAGTCTGAAAGCTATTATCAATATACCCTATAACTCTCAAGTCATCACTCCCAGCAAGGGTAAGGACCTAATCCTTAGTCCTCCGTAGATACTTGAGGATATTGTTTACCACAATCCAGTGAGCCTTGCTAGGGTTTCCCTGATATCTTCTAACCATGATCAAGGCAAAGGCTACATCAGGACGAGTACAAGTCATAGCATACATGATCGAGCCTACTGCCGAAGCATAATGTACTCGACTCATTTCTACTATCTCAGCCTTAGTACTAGGGCTTCAGAGTTTTACTTAGTCTGGCGTTACAATGGATGGGTAACTCTCCTTTCTTAGAGTCCTGCATGCTGAACCTCTTCAACACCTTATCCAATTAGGTACTGCGACTAAGTCCAATTAGTCTTTTACTCCGGTCTCTCAGAATCCTTATCCCTAGAATATAGGCAAGTTCTCATAGGTCTTTCATTGAGAAACACTTCCCACGCCAAGACTTCACTTCCTGCAGGGTTGGGATGTCCTTTCTTATGAGCACTATATTATCCACATGTAGTACCAAAAAGCCGACTATACTCCCACTAGCCTTGACATAGACACAAGATTCATCTTTACTCCTCGAAAAGCCAAATCTTTGACTTTCTCATTGAAGCAAAGATTCCATCCGTGAGGTGCTTCCATAAATGGATTTTCTCGAGCTTACACACTCTATTAGGGTACTCTGTACTAACAAAACCCTCTGGCAGACCCATGTAAACATCTTCAGCCAAACTTCCATTAAGGAAGGCGGTTTTGACATCCATTTTCCATATTTCATAATCATGAAATGCAACGATGGCTAATAGGACCATAATGGATTTAATATTTGCAACTTGTGAAAAGGTCTCATCATAATCAACTCCTGGAGTTTGAGAAAATCCCTTTGCAACCAGTCGCACCTTATATGTGTGTACATTACCATCCGTGTTGGTCTTCTTCTTCAAGATCCATTTGCACCCAACTGTGTTACGACCTGGTACACTATCAACCTTATATGTGTGTACATTACCATCCATGCTAGTCTCGCTGTTCATTGCCTCTTTCCATTTGGCAGACTCGGGGCATGCCATGACTTCCACGTAACTGTTAGGTTCATCCAGACTTTCCAATGTCTCATCACTGATAAGTGCTTACCTTCCACAGTAATATGGAAACCATAATAATGCTCAGGTGCATTCCTAACCCTTTTGGAACGCCCTAGAGGTACAAAATTGTCAATTGGCTCAACAAGAGTTTCCTCCTCAGGTTGAGTGCTAGGGTTTGAAGTTCCTTCACCACTTAACGCTTGAATTTCTTCAAGGTCAATTTGCCTCCCACCGTTTCCTTGGCTTATGAACTATCTCTCTCTCTCTCTCTCTCTCTCTCTCTTTCTCTCTTTCTCTCTCTCTCTCTCTCTCTCTCTCTCTCTCTCTCTCTCTCCCTCTCTCTCTCTCATGACACCTATCCTTGCTACAAAGACCACATTGTCACTAGGTCTATAGAAGAGGTAACCAAAGGATTTCTATCGGTAATCGATGAGAATACACCTCTCACCTCGAGGTTCAAGCTTAACATGAGTCTCGCATCTCACGAAAGCCTTGCAACCCCAAATCTTGATGTGGTCTAGTTTAGGAACTGTACCAGTCCAAATCTCATGAGGAGTTGTGGCAACATTCTTTGTAGGGACCAAATTGAGAATATTGGCGGTAGGCTCTAAGGCATACCCCCAAAACGAGATTGGTAGCGAAGCTCGACTCATCATGGAACAAATCATATCCAACAATGTTCGATTACGCCTCTCAGCCACACCATTCAATTGTGGGGTAATGGGAGGTGTCAATTATGAGATAATCCCACATTCCTTAAGATAGCCGAGGAACTCTGTACTAAGATACTCACCACCACGATCGGATCGAAGCATCTTAATGTTCCTGTCCAAATGATTTTCGACTTCCTGTTTAAACCCTTTAAACCTTTCAAAAGTCTCTGACTTATGCTTGATTAAATAGACATATCCATATCTACTATAATCATCAGTAAAAGTCAAATAATAACAATTAGCATCCCTTATGGTGGATTCGAAGGGTCCACATACATCCGTGTGCACTAGATCCAACAAACCTTCACCCCTAGCACAAAAACCAGTGAAGGGTCACTTTTTCATTTTTCCAAGTAAGCATGATTCACAACTATCATCTGAATTTAGGTCAAATAAGTCCAAGACTCCATCCTTTTGGAGTTGGCCTATGTGTTTCTTTCTCACATGTCAAAGACGACAATGCCATAATGATGCTTTATCCAAGTTATTATTACTCGGAGAATCAATACACATCACATTATTTCCTAGATTATCTACAACAGATACAACTTGATACACACCATCGCAAGGTAATGCTTTAAAATAAAGAACATTCTCCACATTCTCACTTCTTCTTAGTCTCTGCAAATCAGAACAGATATGAATACCATAACCTGTATCAAGGACCAAAAGTTATAATAGGGTGAGTTATTAGATAGAATAGTGTAAGTACCTGCATGGTTGGATTTTACTTTCCCATATTTCACATCTTACTGGTACTTTGGGAAGTTCCGCTTCCAATGCGACCTTTCATGGCAATAGAAGCATTCAGCCTTCTTTAAGTCAGAAGAAGGAGTGAGGAAACCTTTCATGGTTCTATTTGAAGAAGAGCCATCAAGGGTCCTAGCCTTGGTACCCTTCGAAGAGTTCTTTCTCTTCTTCCTTCTACCTTTCCCGATTGCCAAGACAGGGGCAGATTTTGGAGTAGGAGTAGGAGTGTTAACAACCAACTTACCTTGAAGACCTGTTTCTGCAGTCTTTAGGAGTCCTTGAAGTTTGCTGAGTGTGATTTCTTCTTATTCATGTGATATGTCATGCGAAATTGATCATAACACGAGGGTAAGGAGTGAAAAATGATATCTATTGCAACCTCCTCAAGGAAGTTGTAACAACCCGAAGTTGTTCATCGCCAAAACCCGTTCTACCCGAAAAATTCTCCGTTATCAAATTCGTTCCGTTTTCACTTTGGGTTAAATTGTTTAAAAATTTTATGTTTATTATAATTTAATGAGTGTCCAAACCCCTTTTGGAATTCATGAAATTAACCCAAAAGTGTTTATTTCAAAAAGTTAAAAACGTTCCCACCGGGTTACGGTAACTTAATCGGGTGCGACCTAAAGCCCCGTTTAATGTCGGTATCGGGTAGAATTCCACCGTGTCCAAGTTTTAGGACCTATATAAACGTGTTTAAGCACCCATTTGAAGATTTTTCTTCCTCTCTCTACTCTCTCTCTAACCTCTCTCCTAAATCCAAAGTTTAAGGGTCCAAAACTCAATTTTAAGGCCTTAAATCCCTAAGGTACCTTCCTAACCTTAATGTATAGCATCTTTGACCTTCAAATTCGAGATTTAATCATGATTTAAGGCCTTGTATA